TTGTTTTCCATTTTCTCGAGCAAATACAGAGAGCTGACTGAGGCGCCATTGTGTTTGGTTCCTGGGTAGACGTCATCAGCAACCGCCGCCCCAGACTCCTTGAAACGCGGTCGTGTAACACTTCAGCGGTGACTTTAGAAGGGCATGGAAAATCGAGGATTCAACCAAATTCAAATTTTTTTTCGCCCAAATGCTTCAGATAACAAGTGGATTCGTTTTCGCGAAAAAAAATTTTGGGGTTAGGTGCACTTTAAGGCAAAATAATAAGATATCGAGCTCTCAAAAATAATGAATAAAAACTCTCATAAACTCCAAGCTAGAACAAGCTACAAAAGTCAACCAAACGCCGGATCCACGAAGCCTTATTTCACCCCGTCTCGATGGAAATAAAAATTAAAAGCGACTGTTGTTAAGTTTTGCAAACTGTTATTTCGGGGCTCAACGTTGAAAGAGCTCAATGAGTACAAACTATGGGTTTGAAACTGTGGGTACAATTATCTATAAAAGGGGCAGATCTGTCTGATTGTGTCCTTTGCAGCTTGCCCCACTTCTCTGATCTTCCAACAACAGAGAATTGGGTTCAGAGACGAGTTTAGGTATATTTGAGTCACGGCAGCTAAATACAACACCTCTATTAGCCGTCCATTTGAAGTGATACTTAATCTGAGAATAGACATGATAAAATACGGAAGATAGCAAGCTACTAACACCATCTGCACCCACGCTATGCTGGAAACTGTCTTCTTGTATCGAGCTACATTTAGAGGAATTCCTCCTCCGTTCGGACATCCCTTGTTTGTATGGTCTTGTACCTGAGCTTGATGTTGTTGTAATCTGAAGTAAATCATAGTGTACGAGAAGATTGAAGTTATCAGAGAAACCACTCCAAGGATAATTACTGCAACCCAGGCAATGTCTTTATTCCAAAAATGCATCGTTCCACACGAAACACCAGTGGCAAAGAAACAGAATATAACTGCTCGAGTTCGTCTCAAAGTTACAACATGTCTGTATCTTAAACCCAGTAAGAGGGCAAGAAGTCTGTCCACGCTTATGGCCGTCGATGTTAAGACTGATAACCCACACAAAACAAAACCTGTAACAATGTAGCCTTCGTTGTGAAAGTTCATCCTAATTAGTCGCGTCATAACAGAAACCGCAAAAAGTGGTTGTGAAATAAGGCCAGCAAAAAAGTCAGTGACTGCAAGAGACCGGAACAAAAGTTTTGTTGGAGGATGAAGAGAAGTCTCCTTTTGAAGAGCAACGAGGATCAAAGCATTGCCCAGTGATGCAGTAATGGACAGCAAAATGTTCAAGGCTGAAATAGATACAAATACACTGGTTAACAATGCTGATGTGCTAGTATGGTTCATCTCGCTTGTGTTATGATTGTTCCCGTCTTGTGCGGCAAAGTTCGCCATTTTTCTTGGTAGTCAGAACTTCTTCAGGTTGTTCAGAGCAGCGCAAAGTGTTGTCAGCTTTTTTTTTCTTTTTTTTCTGATGACTAACTCTTAGATAAATATTTCGTATATGCGTCGTTTGGTTGTTTGTAATAATTAATTGTCCACATTGTCAACGGTCACGATGTTCAAACAAACAGGCAGTAAGATTCTGAAGACGTTACAGTATCAGGGAGCAAAAATGCGTATTCGTTAATTTGTGTGTTATCTCGGAGTGATGTAGTGATGGACAAGGCAGCTGCAAGAGCCCCGCGGCAAGAACGCATTAAGCTACATGACCACTCTTCCATATTACGTGTAATTGTTTTTTTTTTAAAAAATGATCAATGTCAATTGTGTTACTCAATAGGAAGTTCTATTCAATTCTGAAGATCTTAATATTTTACAAAAGAGGGGAAGAGAATTCAAAACTCGCAGGAACTGTTCGTAGATTTAGCAATGGTTTATACATAAAAGCAATAGGAAAAGTCTGTCACCCAGTAATTAGGCCGAAACCGTAATCAAGACAAGCACCTGGTTATATTTACAAAATGCTTCCAAATCGAGATCGTTTCTTTGTAAACTCCATAGCTTATTCTGTTCACATGCTATGATGTTTCCATGCATATTGTCGTTGATGTCGGAATAATATTCAAGTTATGTGACTGAACTCTCGAAAACTCTATCATCCATTTATTTCGTTACTTAACTTCATTTAGGTAAGAGCCGCTGGAGTATTTCAATTATTGATATATGTGTTGATCCTGGAATTATCCACAACAGTTGGAACTCATTCATTCAACGAGCAAAATTTTGTAATAGAGTCGTCCTATCAAATCGTCTCGTATATATATTTTGTCCTCAAAATTGTTTCGTTTTACTTAATTTATTCGCTCTGGCTTTCTGGATAGCGGATATTCTATTTCCTAATGTTTAGAAATTTCACCAAAACGCATTAAATGAGAAAACTCAACTAAAGGCTCATTCAACGAAGAAATTAACTGATTGTCACCTGCTTTTTGTTCTTTTCTTTTCTTCCCATAAATTATTCTATATTCATGCAAAATACAAGGCTGTTTACCCTTAGAGTTAAAAGTATAGTTGATTTATACCCAATGTTTATGGACGGTGAGGAGTAGCATGTTCCCTTGATCTAAATCTTAAAGAATTATTAGCACCATCTTGCTATAGAACTACCAGTGAGCAAGAGACCGCTGTACTAGTAATTAAGAGAAGTTTCAAGTACAGAAGAAGTAGATACGATCCCTGAGAGCCTTTTTTTTTTTTTTTTTTTTTTTCTTACTGACATCGCTTATTCTGATTGATTTGGATGAATCGACACAAATCTTTAATGCGACACACATTACAATTTCATGAAAATCTGTCTCGGAACACTATCTGTCTNACAAAAAAAACCTTCTGTACTGTTTGTTACCTTCTGACATTTTGGGGTTTTTCTTTTTTTTTTTTTCTTTCAGTTTTCTTACTGGCAAAAATGATCACAATTTAGTCAAAACTGTACTGCGATTCCAAAAAAAAGAAAAAAAGAAAAAAGAAAAAAAAGAAAGTTATCTATTTAGCCTAATGTTGGAAATGTCGTCTGCAATACCGTAAAATCCCACATTAAAGCCCCTCCTCCTGATTATAAACCCCATCGAATATGAGCCCTTCTATTTGCTAACAAAAATATTATTCCGGATATAAGCCCCCCCCCCGGATATAAACCCATCTAATGTGTAAGTGCGTTCCTTTTACGTTTATTTACAAACATCAAAAGTTTTAATCGACAGTTATATGCTAATTAGGTAATAGGGTAATACGATGATAGAGTAATAGCGTAATAGCTTTAAATGCAATGGTACATTAGCTTTAATTCCTTTCTTTGATACGTTTTATCTCGTTCTGAAACTTTTTTTTTTAAGCTTATATGATGCCCCCCCCCCCCAACCCTTCGATATAAGCTCTCCCGTTTATAAGCCCACTCAAATCCCCTTATGAAGTTATATAAGCCCAGTACTTTAATTAACGTGGGATTTTACGGTGTGTCGGATCTACCACTACTGATTTCCGAATTCGATTGTGCAATCATAAGTGGTCACCGTGTGAATTAGCTATGCGAAATGGCCATTTGACACTAAATCATACATATTTAATCAGCCATCTTTGGTTTAGAATTTTTATAACAACAAAAGCCCTGTGGAAAAGAAATCTACTGGATTGTTGATAGGAGATAATTCTGTCAACGTATCATAGGGGTCAGCGGTATTCCACATGGGCCGTATTGTGTGTGTAAAACGAACATGGCTGCATGTCAGCTGAGAATAAAGTGTTGTGTTCTCGAAAGCTGTTGTTCCTTTGATGGAACCTTTCCCAGCCGGTCAACTGGATCATATTCTACAACTATCAGTCTAAAAGCACAGATCTCGTTGTCGTTGCTTAAATTCCCTATTGCTCTTAGGACCTGCCCATGACATTATGGCTTTAGTTGCGCAACTGGTAGAATTAATACGCCATCACCAATACATTGCAGGAAAAAATAAGATAACAACATGTGCCTTGACAGGCCATTCTACTTACGAAAATTGAAACAAAAAAAACAAAACAAAACAAAAGCAGTAGTGAATAAGGCGTTTAGTTAATTTTTCCTTCTTGGTAAAATACCTTTTAAGACCTTTTAAAAGCGGAATGATAGCCTTGTATTGAATTAGCAGGTAATTGCAAAATTCTGAAAACATACTTGTAACCAATCTCAATTTATATTCTTCCTAATTACGACTTTTTTGTATTTACATCTGGCATTCAGCTGAATAAAAGCTAATCTATAAATATGCTCTTCCCGAATAAAGCGGCTCTCAATTGAGTATAGTAAAACCAAAACCAAACTATCTGCTCTGACCAATTGCAAAGGACTTAGACTATCCATTGAACCAATCAGAACTCTAAGCCTTAATTACATGCAGCTGACGTAAGACGGGGGGAAAGATGTGTGCACGTGAGCGAGTCATGATTGGTTTTTACTTTTGATTGGATGGTTGGATACAAAAAGTGACGCGACTTTTTTAAGTCCATGGCGTTACGTGGTAATTAAAGACAAACCGAACCGAATTTCTTTCGACAGTTAAGTGAAAACCGCTGCACTTCCACGTAATATCTTGTGGGAGTATTCTACCTTTGGAAAGATAGATACAAAAGTATTTCTGGAAAAAATTCAGCACTAGCTACAAATAGGTTTGAACAGTGTAAAATTGAGCATTTGCTGTTGTTTGATAGATGGCCCAGGAAGCGCGTTGCCGAATCGTGTCAGATAAAGGAGAGTCATCAATAATTTTTTTTTTAAAAAGTGTTTGTTTCTTTTCGACGTGAGTGATTTACTCAGCTATCGAGCTACTCAGTTGTGCTAGTCCGCAAACAATTTTATGCATTTATTTTATTTTATCTCATTTTATTTTGTTGCTAGCTTATTCTCATGACTATTATTTCAATTTGTCACTCCAAAGTCCACACAGCTTCAACGATTATTTTATCAATCCTGGAAATTAAAATAAATGTAAAATAAATACACCTTACTCAACATATAGTACGAAAGATAAAATTGATGGTATATTCTATTATTTTTTTCCTTTTATATTTGACGCAATGTTTCAATGAAATTATAAATAATTAAAATCTTCAGAAGCAAAGTGAGATAAATAGGTCATCTGAAAATGTGTCGAATCTTTTAAGTCGTTTGCTTTGTTTGCCGATTTTTATGTCTTTGTTTTTAATTGACATCAGTGAACTGGTGAACTTTTTGCTATGCTCATAGCTCTTACAGCTTTGTTTTATAATACCTGCTCAAAAGGCTTCGCTCACCCATACCTGTTAACTGCTTCTTTTATCTAGTTCAATCAAAAAAGGTTTGTGGGGGTGTCTTTTTGAAACTTTTCTTTTAATTTAACATTATTTCTTTCTTTCTCCCTTTAAATGGAACTCATTTGATATGATTGGCTAGGTTTTGCTCAACCTTCCTTTCTCTTCAAAGTTTTCTCTATAAAGAAACTGAATGACATAAGTTATCGTTTCCTTAATGAACAAACCGTAAAGACTTTCTTTTTCAGGCGGAAACCATAACGAAAAAAGATACTCAGTTCATTAATATATTAATTAGAATTATGACGGAGAATAAATTGAAATATTATCTTGAGAATGGATAAGACGTGTTATATTCCTTTCTACAGTTTCTAGCACATTCATTCACTGAAAAGAACTAAAATAATTAACACAAATATAATGCCCGGCCAAAAATGCTACGGGCAATAAACAGAGCCGAAATTAACATCCCCAAAAAACTGGAGATCAATTTCCCTCAAAGGATGCTTCTTTCAACCGATATATATTAAAGCACATATTCAGTAAATATCGATGAATACCAAAGAACAATGGGATTTTTCTGTTTTGTTTTGTTTTGTTTTTCCCCTTTTTCTGGCCTGACCACGGTAAGCTCTTTTGACAACACTTGCTAATGCATCAAAGTACTTTCTAATTAACCCACGTTCGAATGGGCCATTAAATGAAATTCAGTTATTCTTAGATAACAACGGCTATAAACTGAAGGATCTTTGTTTCCTCAGTTTGTTACTGACACATGCTAATAAGAGCACGCTGGCCAAACCGCGAGTAAAGATAAAAGAATCGTTTTGACTAAAGGTGCGTTTATTCAGGCGAGCTCGCGTTTGATCAGTTTTCGCGCGAGGGACGAAGTTGAACGATGGATACCCGCAAGGTCCAGTTGATTTTCTTGTGTTGTTGTACGTTCTTCCTTGTCTTAAATCTCGCCGAGGCCAAACCCCGCGGCCCTTATGAAGGAAATGGTATGTGTTGTTTTAATCTTGCTATACCTTCTGATGAATTTGCTTTACGCAACAAGTGTGGTCATGTTATGCCGATAAGGCATGCATCTACACGGCGTCCTGAAAAACCAAACGGGCGTCCACTTCAAATGTTGAAATTCAGTCCCTTTGTTTCAAGGTTATATTTTCATGATAAAAACGAAATCATACTTTTGACTGTTTTTCAACCACGCGATTTTCAAAATAATTTCTTTCAGACGGTCAGGTATCTTAATTGTATCGCAAACAGGTTTACAATATAATGATATTATTCAACAAATGGTAAATATCGATCGATATCAGTCTATTGGAAGTGAATCCCTTGTTTTAGATTTTCAACTGCTGGTTCTAATGCTTTTTTTTTTTTTTTTTTTTTACTTGTTGTTGTTGTTGTTATTGTTCTCTTATTCTAAAACAACAATTTCCGAAATATATTCAGCTATATTTTTCGGTGAAGGTAGATGAGTATAGGCGTTCATTACGAAAAGAAGTAAAGGAAACAATAAAAAAAGAAAAAAGGAAAGCGGCAAAAAAGAAATTTGTATGCACGAAACAGAGGTAAAGCTAACTTTATTTTTAGTGTGGACCAAATTTCTCCAAACTTTCACAACGATCACAAGAGAAACTCTTAAATACCCTTTTGGATTGCCGATGATCCCAAACTGAAAGGGATCGTCAGGAAATTTCCGAAGACTGCCGAGAATCTTACGAAGATTTCCAAAGATCAGCCGACTTTGAAAATAGCAGAAGGGTTCGTAAGGTCAACAAAATAATATAAATGATATCACTCGGAAGATTGTCGAGATGGTTCGAGATCGACGGGCTTGATGTCATACGTACAAATAATTTCATCTTTCCTAGTAAAATGAAGATAAATAATTTCCGATCCTTCTTTAGTAGTAAAAGAATGTTTGGTGTTCTCAGTCTCAAATCGAAAACCAACAGAAGGAAAGAAGTCGTCGTTTTTAGGTAGAAAATAAAAGATACAGTCGAACCTCTACTAACGGCCTGCACCTCTCTACACATTTTTTAGTCCCAGCAGACAGTCCATACATTCACTCTCTTTTTGACCTCTCTATAACGATCACCTCTCCACAAAGGCATCGGACACTAAAACTCGTCCCAACCGGCCAAAATAACCTCTCGACAACGGCCATTAATCAACGACTGACGAACGGTATATTCAAAACCATTTTCTATTGTAAAAGGTCACCAAATTCGATTCGCGCCGTTCTTCGTTAGCCCCTCTGTTTAGTTTCTGTTGTATTGGTCTATTTTAATTTATATATGCTAAAATAAGCATTTTCGACAAAAAAAAAAGTATGTTGCATCTCCGAAAAAAGGTGTCATATTGAACCTCAACCTCCGCTTCAACGACCACTTTTTTCTGTCTCCTAGGTGGCCGTTGTGGAGAGGGTAGACTGCAGTTGTTGCACGCCATGGCATGAATTGTCAGGCCAGTGCTGGATGGGATGCTAGTTCACTGCAGGGTTACCCAAGCATTGAATTCGCCGGTACCCAATTATACACCCGGAAGGAGAGGGGCACTGTGAAAGTAAAGTGTGTTGCCCAGGAACACAACGCAATGTCCCCGGCCAGGGCTCGAACCCGGACCGCTCGATCCGGAGTCGAGCGCACTAACCACGAGGCCACCTCACCTCCACCGTTGATAACTGGAATCACGTAAAATCTGTTCCAACATAGCAAGAAACTCATGCTGCACTCTACAATTTTAGAATTGACACCCAAAAGTAACAACAATATTATATGATTTCTTTTCAGGTATTGGGAAACGTGATGTACGTTACCAGCGCAGGAGATATTTTCCCATATCTGAGTGTTATAGTGATTATGAATGCGATTACGGCATGAAATGTGATTCAGAATTTGAGTTTTGTCTTCCTATTGCTGGTAAGCACAACAATGAAAACTAACGAGTTAATCCGTTAAACGTTTATTTTTGTCCGACGTTTTCCGAACAACTCAGTGGTACATTCTTTGAAGAGTTTTTAAATTTCAGGTGGTTTTTTGAAGAGCTTTCGTTCAAATTCTTTTTAGAAGAGGTCCAAACTACTCTTCGTGTGTTCCTTCGAATTAGAAAGGAGTTCTTTGGGCTTTATTCCTAATTTTCTACAAACACTTCGAGTGCCTTCCCCAAAGGGTTTTCATGTTTATTTTTCCCCCGACATTTTTTTTCTGAACGAACACTTCGGGTTATGCTCCCAAGAGTTGTTAAATTAAACTCTTTAGGTGTTTTTCTGAAGTTTTTCTAAACACTTCGGGTGATTTTCCCAAGATTTGTTATTTTACAAATAAATGTTTCCACTCCTTTTTTAACCTTTGGTTTGTTTTTATTCACCATAGGTGGCGAAGGTCGGCTATGAGAGGCAAAGATCAGCAAATGCAAGCCACTGCAGGGAACTCAAGCAATATTTAAGGAACGCTGGCGAACTTATTGTTGTAATTCAAATGAAAGAACTAGTTACGTGTACTAAATAGATAGTGGCCATTTGAAAATTTCACTTCCGTGACATTAAATATTAGGAAGTCGAGAAAAACACTTTGGAGTTTGTAAGTATAAAGAAACTTCAAATCGAAAGTGTAGGCTATACCAAAGCATAAACAGTTGTAATATATAAAGAGGTACTTCTGGATTATTTCCACATAATCAGGTAAACCGTTTACTTTTGTTGAAAGGGTGGAGAGGGGGGAGAGAGAGGGGGGGGGGGCTTGGCAGAAAGGGCATACAACCGTTAGACTCTCTTTATTTTTAAACAAAAACTATAGTCAAGGTAATGAAAACTCAGTAACATCTTGTAACTTAAAATATGCTCAAGAACCCCATGACAACAAATCAAGGAGAAGTAGTTGTTCGGTTCATGTTGTAAGACTACTATAATTCTAAAAATAACAGAAAGTAACGCTGTGCTTAACTTATTTCAAAAGCCAGCTTCAAAAAGATACTTCTATCCAATGAATTTCATTTTTCTATAACCGTCTAAGTTCTACGAGATTCATGAAAGCCACGGCAGCAGTCTGTCCTCGTCCACTTCGTCTGGTCCCAGGGTAATGTATACACAGCGCCCATAAGGCTTTCCATTAATTTTACGGCCTTGAGTGTTTCTTGTGGAACACGTCATACCTAGTCGACAAGGGCACTGCATGGAACCTGGCTGTGTAACAAAATGTAATGCAATAGATTGTTTAGCTTCACAATTCCCTGGAAGGGGGCTTACAATAACAATACATGTGAAGAGAGACATCCTTTGCCACATTACAGGACACAGTGACTTTGGTGGGTGTGGTGACAAAAACGTTTTGTTAGTGTCCAAATTTAAGTTACTCAATTAAGAAATAGCTTTATAGATGGAAGAAAAATAAGCATGACTCCAAGGGGGAGGGGGGGGGGGGGAGCTATGGGGATATGCCTCCAATAGGACACAAACAAACAACCCTTACTTCCCCTTCCACAAACAGGATGCAGATGTGCAAATGCTGAAACACTACTTGCAACAACTTCAGTTTTCGTGGCTGCGCGTTGCGACACTTTCTGCAACAGTACTAAGAAGGCAAGTGGTAAATTTGGTGACGGACGGTGGGTCATGCAACCAAAAAGAGCAAACCACAAATTTTTCGCAGTTATTGCCTAAAAGTAAAAGGAATAAAAATCATATGGGCGCCCCAATGGACGCATCGTTGGAAGTAAAGGACTTTAGTTAGAGTGGGCCCTTTGCTTTTGATACACAATCAACAATTCTGGATTTGACAAAGGGACAACTGGCGTCAACCAGTGCAAGGTTGGCTTTTCTTTATTTTGGATGTCCAGGTATGTCCCTTTCCATCCGACCGGGCGGACTTTATACTATTAGATTGATGAGCAGAAAACAACAGCAGATGCTGACGCAATTAACCTTTTGCATGCAACCCCCCGTTCTATGTAACCATTTGTGTCTAGGCGTCAGTAAAGACTTACCGTTATCTGTGGAAAGCACAGCTCTTTTAGCTGTGGTTGGCGTAGACAGGTGCCATTCATTGTGGACGAAACCCCTGCACAGCACTCTTTAGGACTGCAGTCATCTCGAGATTGACACTTAACAAATTTCTAAAGAGAAACAAAATCCATCAGAATTCCGCTTTGTGGCTAATCCCAAAAACAAAAGCCCGATGGAATAAACACGCGCTCTGGAGTTCCGAAGACAAGGCAAATTAGATGAGGAGGCAACCGAAACCGGCAAAGGACGTGCTGTCTTCAAATTACTCAGTCCAAGCTGCTCCTGCCTGAGTTGAAGTTTGGGAACGTGTGGACTCAAAGTTCTTTGGTCCATGGATCCCCCAATAGATAGAATTGAAGTACACCGACATTAATATTTTTGAAAATTTAACATTTCAGTTCTAAGGACACCCAGTTGAAAATTGACATTTTTGTTGCCAGCTAGATAGATGTCTCGTTCCCCTTGGTCGGTAAAATATATCGCGTCCTCTGATTGGCCGGCGTGGCAGAAGGTTTTCGTTCCTCTCTGTTAGTTACCTGTTGATATACGCCTTCTTTCATGGAATGTGATAACATTACGTTGTGGCCAAAAAAAAAAAAAAAAAAAAAGGCTTCTAGGAAGCTCCCTGAAGACCAGTTTGGAAAACCAAAGCCACAAAAACCAACCAAAAACAACATCAACAGCAAATCACAGTAGCTCTCACCTGGTAATATTTCACTTTCTGTGTTCGAGAAGGGTGTTTCTCTACCCCTGCCTGCAACAACAGGGCGTACACGCTATTTTAAGTCTAGCAAACCACTCAGATTGCGTACTAGTGCTTTCTAAAAACTTTGATGATTCAGATGAATCAAGATGACAACATATGTTCCCCTATGAAAGTGGCAAAGTATATCAATTTTACAGTAGGAGAAACAGTGAGATTTGTGCGACCATAAAAAAACAAAAAGCCAAAACAAAACAAAAAAACACCCACCAGGTCTGGTTTCAATTTCATTCGGTCTTTTAAAGAAGGTTTTTTCTTCCTTGCTACCTGCAAAAGTGAGGTTGTCATTTATAAAACATAAAGCTTAGATCCATTTTGCGTCCTAACAAGACCTATAAATTAACGCTGAAGTTTCGCGACAACATTAAAGAGTAATTTATCACCTATGATATTATTGCCAGAATTGGAGTCTGTAATTGATTTTTCACTTCTCAAAAATCCATTTCAGTGGCCCACACGTGATGAACCAACTGTGATCAAATCAGCCAAGTTTTAAAAGGCGGAAAACTCAGGTTCCTTCCTTTATTTTTTACCTGAATGGATGACAACTTGAGCTGGATGGCGCGCTGTTTGAGCTTTGGTTTGCACGTGCCTTTGACTGGATAATTAGAAAGCTAGGCAGTTTTTATTGAACATTGACCCTGTGAATAGATTGCGGCGTTAATTAAAATACACGCTCTCATCAACTTATGCTCGCATCGGACACCCAGCTGATTCTGAGAAGCTAACTGCGGTGTACTTCCTTGGCTTTCCACGGGTTCAAAACTTATTAACTATTTGTACAAACACGGGATTCTTTACCCTAAATATCTCTGATTTGTAAGTGATTTGAATAAAAATAGCGTAGCCATCTCATTCGATTCTACTCTATTACTGAAGTTCAACTAAGATTCCTCGCTCAAATCTGTAGCCTTCGTCATAACGTAACCTTGAGTGGGTGTTTTGCGGTCACATTTTGCTGCATGAGTGAAACTGAAATTTGGACCATCAAATCACTATCGATCTTACACTCACTTTCGATAAGCCTGGGTCATGCACATTCTGAAATGCCGCATAGTCTGGCCGGCGACATGTAAAAAGGAAAACACATTTCTTCTAAATTGTAAGGTCTTTTTTTTTATGAGGACGCGACGAAAATTTCATGCACTCGCTAAATGTGAAACTTAATATACTTAATTCTAAAAACCTAACGATTGTCTCAATTGTTTGTATTTTATTTTTGTATTTTTTTGCCAAAAAAAAGAGACAAATCCATTTAAAGAATCAAGCAACTAGCTTTTGCTGACAACCAACCGCATAATGTCAAAATTAATCCTTCTACTGACATCTTGTGATGTTATGTCTGGCGCACATGTATACTAGCAATTTAAATGCGTTTAGGGGTGATTTACTTCATTTATTTAAAATCGCTAAAAGAAACACAAAATTAAGGCATGCAAACCCTAGAAAATTTACTTTCTTATGTATACATCTGAAAACAAAAATGTAACTTGTGATTTACTTCATTTATTCAGCAAGAAACACAAAATTAAGGCATGCAAACTCTAGAAAATTTACTGTCTTACGGATACATCTGAAAACAAAAATGTGACTGGTTTCTGTGGTTTGGAAATGATGCCCCGTCCACACTACGCTAGAGAAATATGAAAACGCAACAATAACCGGTCATTTTAGATTTCTATTTGGGGAAGACTTAACAAGAGGGAATCTCACGATTATCGTGGCGTTAATATTTTCCAAAAGCTTCGTTTTAAAAATGTTTTACGTCCACACTAAAACGCAAAGCCGGCGTTTTCAAATTCCTCCGATTTGAAGAGCGTTTTCGAAAAACTCCGTTTTCGAGGCTTATTAGTGTGAACGGTAAGCCTAACACTAGAAATAAAGCAGCTGCATTTTCAAATTTCTCCGGCCTAGTGTGAACGTGAGCTAAAGCTCTCCTTTCGTGATATTTGAACTTCCCGTTTTCTTTCTAAAACGAAGTGGTGGCCTTGCGAGGGACGTGTTCTGACTGTGCACAACCTGTTATTCTAAACGAAAAATAATAGCTATCACGGAACAACAAAATTACTCATTTTTACCGCAAATAATTAATTTTGATGAAATTTTAATCCTCGATAAAGCCAATTTGTCACGTCGGAAAACGAAAAAGAAAAAACGATTACCACAAATGTAGAAAATTGTTCAAAAAACTTTGCTATCTGGATGCTTCATTATTGAAAAACAACTTTTCGGAAGTACAGATGAATTGGTTTAACTTGGAACCATGTTTTTGTAATTACTTCACACTGTAATTTGCTGTTATACCTAATCCTTTAAAAATCTTTATCTTTATATTTTCGTGGCCAAAACCGAAAAAAGAGGGTTGAAAAAGTAAATTGGGCTTTTATTCCAAATAGAAAATGTCAACCAAGAAAAACGTAGAAGTGAAACTAAATTGGCCTAAAATTTGTTGTTTGAAATCGTGCTTTCGGATACCAGATGCAATGCTTTTGTCATGCACATAGCAAAGTAACATTGATAGTATTTCTTTAAAGTAGCACGATGCATATGTGTAGGCGGGTTGCGTATTTTTCCATTAAATATAAATCCATACGAGAGGTACATGCTGACCTTAAACAAACGACTATTCGTCAAAAACCTCTGCGCGCAAAAACCTATAGTTGAAAGGCTCACTGAGAAGAGGTTTTTATTTTTATTTATTTATTTATTTTTTCGGTTAAACCATGCATTTATAATATATCTTCTTCTTATCGAAATCTTACTTCGGTGGAGATCTGAAAGCACGTGGGAAGCTTTTAGCTTAACCGACAAACACGGCTACACAAATGGTTTACGATGGGCGTTAACTGAGATAGCTGTAGAAATAAATTGAAACCTTGAATTAGTCAAGGTAAAATTTTAACAATTTTATCTTCACTTCTAAAGGTCGTCTGAGAACTGTTTCAATGGTGAATTTAAGTCTGGTATGCAAGATGATTAAAATTAAAAGGCGTGGAAAACAAATCATTTGGAATAGTAAAGGCGAATTTTTTTTTTTTCTTTTCAGCGCACAAGTACTTATGTTTCTTAGTTGGAGATCAGCTTGTTAAACCACACCCTGCTATTCGATTCAAATGAATTAATTGCAGAGGCGAACCATATATGACCGGCGGAAACGAAATAGCTAACTTTGTTACACTAACAATATTGCATTACGTTTTGTGGCGTGGCTGGAGGAATATATTTTGTCTGATTTTATTCTTGCTATCTGAAGTTCTCTCTGGTTGTTAAAAATATTTCCTGAATGAAAATTTGTCCGAAGATTCAGATAAACATAAAACACTTTTTTTAGCCTCGTAAAAAAAATTTTCTTCGTTTTAAGCGGAAACACACACACACACACAAAATGTTAATATAAAAAGAACTAAATGAGGCTATCAAACAACAGCGCTGGAATATTTTTCAATCAGTCTGTAACAAATAAGTTCTGAAGGGCAGACGTTATCTTTGTATTTTTCCATTTCTCATTAAAATTTACACCTCAGACATGTAATCATTCGTTACTTTTACGGCAATTTCATGGTCTAGAAAATTATATTCCCTCGGAGCTTCAGTCGGACATCAAATTAATTGCGCGCAAATGTATAGACTGAGCAAAAAAAAAGTCACTCTTACACAAAAAAAAAAATAATAATAATATAAAAAAGAAAAAGAAAATAAAAAAAGAACTGATATTAAGCTTACCTCCCGATACGCTAAACACGTTGTGAGCAAAAATGTAAAAACTCCTAACCAAAGCAGGAATGATTTCATTTTGTATATCGGCCTCAGGTTGGTCGTTTTTCGCATCAGTGTTTCCTCGCGGGCTGTCTTGAAATGCCAACTCCTAAATATATAGAGGAGTTTTATCCAGACTTTCTCGCCCCCGCTTTGTAATCAACCCACTGAACTTTATATGCAGATTGTTGTTTTGAACATTTCATGTGCTTAATACCGGTAGTCGTTTATCAAGCTACTTAATCACTAGCTTCAACTTGACCCTGGAAACAGCCAACCACACAAGAAATTGATCTTAACATCGCTTCGCGCTAGATAAATCTCGATTGATCCTCAGCGCTGTCGGCAGATGGTCAATTTCGGACGTTGCGCTCTTTCGCAATGGTGTTGCGCGCTTTTTAGAAGTTGATTGGCACGCAAAAAAGGTTGCGAAAACTGGAAAAACCGGAAATACTTAAAAAGCCCGTTTAAAGAGAACCTGTTTACGTGTAGCTTAGAATATTGATTTAGAAGGTCAGAAAGTTCTAAGGCATGAGATTGAGTTGCAGTAAGGAAAAAAATGGTTTGCGAATAAAATATGAAAAATTACTCCAACTGTGCCAGCTTCATAGCAAGAAAAGCTGAGTCACCGGCGTCAAATAGTGATAAATTAGAGTCGTTGAACTTAACAAAGGAAATATCCCTGTCAAATGAATCATCGGCTCCTTGCAAAAAATAAACCCGGACATTTTTCTTCCTGAAATTAATTTATCTGGGTTCATCTCTAAAAATGCATCAAAAAGATCTGTAAATAGTAGTAGATTTCAACGGTCAAACAGTCACTCCTGAAAAATATAGTGACTATTTTATTGCTTAACCAAAATATAAGAGAATTCTGAATTTTAGATTTGCAATTTGCTAATTAATCTTCGCGATGCTTTATAGGCATGCTATCAAGTAACATTTATTTAATGGTAAGGTTAAAATCTGAAAAAATCATTAAACGGGATTTTTTATGGCAAAGAATAACATTTATCTTATTTTACGACTCAAATCTCCAGTTTTTATAAAGCGTGAATATGCGAATTACTCTAGATCGTCACATGATTACTATAGGCAGAATATTATCCTGTCTTTGCTATTAAGGGCAGCAAGATTGCCTCCTATAGGAGCTTCGCAAGACAAATATCAATTTGGAATACAAAAAGGATATTGCACAGCGGCAGGTAGATATGAGTTTTATTTTCGAGTGGTATAAAAAGATATTTTTAGAACGGACGTAGCGAGTGAGTAAAATAATGTTTCAAAATAAAATTCAGCGTATAATTTTCGGCTTATTTGATAGACGTATCTTTTGCTCGCTCTTTTCACCGACTGGTGGAAAAAGTGGGAAATGACGTCATAAAGTGAGGATATGGAAAATACGCCGGTACGGCGTTTTTTCGTGTTAATTTTACGAATGATGTATATCCTCCAGTGGAACACTCGTGTCTTTTTAACGAATATACTGTTACCTGTATGTTTTAAGGATAGAGGGGAAAGCTATCTTATTGAAAGATTGTCGTTGTTATTAATTTGTCCTTTCAGTGCTTCACCCGATACTAAACCTCTATAGAGTTCTCGTAGCATACTGAATAACGATCCATTTGTCGCGCTCCACTGACACAAAAAGAAAAAAGAAAAAGAAAAAGAAAAAGAAAAACGTGCTTAAAAAGACATCGAAACCAAAAAGCAAAGCAAATAAAAACTAAAAGCTTATTTGTTGATGAAATCTCAAGCATTGAAGCGAAATTAAAACTTTATCAATTTGGCAACACCTTGGACAAACTTAAAACACACTCACGTCCGGAAGATTAAGAGGAATTGCAGACACAATTCCGGCAAAACAAAGGAAGCTTTTAGCTCTCTAGGGCTGTCTATTAAACACCCTTATGGAGAGCTATACATTTGAAACTTTTCTATTGTTTGTGGCGTTTTTTTTTTTTTTTTTTTTTTTGAAGGTCATAAATCTATTTATTCCACAGCCGCTCAGGAAAACAAATGTTTGCTTTTGAACGAAATTTCACACAGCAATGTGCTTCAACACCTCTGGACATTATTATCAGAGGCTTTGATTATCTTTAGTCGTAATATGAAAATTTAAAAGGGAGAAAATAAAATGCATTGCTGTTGTTTTTTTGTTTTTTTAAGCAGAAACAATAACCGTTCTACTAGTGAAAGAAGAATCAATTCATATATATATTTTTTGAAGTAAATAAAAAACCATGCCATTTTCTTAAAACAAAACTTCGAAAAGGTAAGGAATTCGACGAGATTTGATTCCACAACCTGCGAATTACGAGACCGCAGCTACACATTGTAAGCTTCATAACTCAGCCTGACGTCCATGTACCAAACACTACTCCTATCGATTCATCCACAGTCCAAGAACTGCATGAAAAACTTTGGAGTGCACGGTTTTACTCAACTTGATTCTTGTGCAAGACATTAGTTTGTATGCAGCTGGCCAGCCTCAAGGCCAAACATAATGGCGTCTCGTTTTGTCGTCTGGAAGCTCATTTCAGCCACGTTTGTATGAGAAGACGTACAATTAGTGGCCATACGAGGAAATATTTTTCCATACACGACGCCTTCTGTGCAGCTTGCGGTGTGAGTCAGCGAATAAAACTTAACTCAACGACTACTTAATAAGTAGTTAAAACTACCCCCATCTTTAAAAGCACCTTCAAAGAGGCTTTTAGCGTTTAAAACCATCACGTCTGGGTTGTCATCAGTCCCTCAAATATCCGCATCGATCAATAACAGGTAACGAAACTGAAAAAAAAAAAAAGAGCAAAAAAGCACATTAAGATTAAAAGGACTGAAAGAGATTAACCAGCTTCTAGCAAAAACAGTGCGCGCAAGGAATCATTTCTTTGACCTTCTTTCCACGACCCGGTTAAAGATCTAGAAGTTTTTTTGAGAAGTTCAATTTGCACATGTGGTGTTCTTGGGTGATTATTTTTGTACTGGAAAAAGGGTTAGGAGAGGGTAGCCAAGTCGTCTCTTGCTACTTGTCGTGGGGATAACCGCTGGCCTGATGGGTCTCAAAGCTCGTCTTCTGACTTGACCTACCTATATAAGGAGTAGTAATTTGACGAAATTCTGATTCGGAAACAGGCGACTGAAGAGGGCAATGCACGGATCGATTCGAAACTTCAACATTACCCCAAGTCATTGAAACGCCTGGGTATTTGAACTTTTGACGTGTAGGTTCGTTTGAATTCCCGACCGATCTTCTTGGCCAGATATTATGTTCAATCAGTCCCACCTAAGAGACATATTCGACGATCGTCCCTGGACGGACACGACAAACAAGAGTCAGGGAAAATGACAGGGTTCGGGTAATGTTTGTAGGACTAAAAATTCAATAACTTTTAAGAGATATTTCAGGGCACGATTCCATTTATTTCAAGGAATCCATCCACTGAAAAAATTATACCATTAGATTGAGTTATTAAAGAAGCTCAGTCACGGTATTTTGAGTTTTTTTGGTCGCGTACAAAATTATATTTAAATTGAAGGAAACCTGAGAATAATTGTTTACTAAAAGAGAAAAACACCAAAAAGATTATAACAAACCATAAAGGAACAAGGATGGTTAAGGATGGAGAAGATTGACACGGTTTACAAACGACTAATTCGAAAAATTTGGGCTGAACTTTTCAAGATATGCAAACCATGGCAAAGCTCTTTTAACCCTTAACCCCTTAAGGCAAACGACCGTTTTTCCTAAATCAGTAAATAAAGGTTCTCTGCCTGTGTACAATATACCATTTCAAAGCCACTGATCAGTTTATTTAAGAACTGCCATCAGCAACTATGAAGGAGGTAGTCATTTTGAGAGAAATTGTTTTGAAATGTGAAAATGAAAAGCTTCCAACACGTATCAGTTCTCAAATATCATAGGTATGCTCCCGAACTGTAGCTTATTTAGCAGGTCTTAGTACATAGCTTAATGTGAAACAAGTCTTGCATTCCATGTGCATGTCAAAAAAAGAAATTGTAAAGTTATGGGGGTGGTCAACTATATCTTAGATAGGAAGGGGTCACAATGTTATGCCTTCAATGAATAGATCTTTGCAAGACAATTTTCATGGCAAAAGGTCATAGAAATCTCTCAAATATTCACAAAGTTATGATGCTGTGTGCCAAATGGCGCTTTTAGGGAGTAAGGGTTAAGAGAATGAATGGAGAGAATTCAGGGTTTTTTCCCCTTCTCAGTCAACCCTTACTGAAACAGTCAAACAACAAATTTCAAGGTTTTTCAAGGACCCAGTGTACTTTCCAAGGACTTTAAAGGTCTGATTTTCAAGTGCGTGCAAATCCTGATAAAACAACAGAAATGTATCATCTGCAAACTTTGACCGTTTATTGATACTGGCTAGCACATGGGAAGGGCTGGGAGGGGAAGACTGAGAAGAATTTGAAAGAGCTCTAAATAATTTAGAGGGAGCTTGTTCAAATTCTTCTCTTCCCCTTCCAGCCCTTCCCATGTGCTAGCCAGTATCCTCTCGCTTCCCAGGAAACATCAGATGGTTAATTTATGCCCGCGGGTATGTTGATGTCTTCAGTTGATCGATACATAGATCCAAACGTAATACACTGAATAAAAGAATCAACCAACACCTTAATATAATCCTCTAAAAAGAAAACGTCATTTCAGTCTTAATGCCATTACTTTGCAGCTTTTTTGTTACCGACTTTTTGTCACCTATTATTCCCTTTGAAATGTTCAAAACATTCCTCCTATATCGCCTGTTATCCCCAGATAAACGTTTCTCATCACAAACGACCTAACAGGCTTATTATGCTCGAAATAATGCACTTTATTATCCAACTGCAGCGAATACTGTCCAAATAACAGTACAAATATACAGCGAGATTGTACAGTAGAAAACCTGTATGGCGTATTTGTACAGTAGAAAACCTGTTTGCTGTACAGGTCGGCGCGCGCATGCAAAACTGTCACACCCTTCCTCTTTCATTGATAAATTTATTGAATACAGCAGTTGGATAATAAATCTCTTATGAGATGTTTTGGTGTGTAGTATCGCTGTCTATTTTTACTTGTTGTTTGTATTTTGACTCGCCCTACGGGCGCAACTCGTAAAAATAGACAGCGATACTAAACACCAAAACATCTAGTAAGATATATATATCCAAGCTCAAAGGCCAGTTACCCACCTTCCACACGCCTTCCCGGTGACTTGTTTCCCTGCTTTTTCCACCAGTTACGTCTGTGCTTGCCGTGGATTTCTTTCCGTTTACCAATTTTTTACCTTTCTCGATTACGCTTTCGCGAGCTTGC